ATTTATATATTAAGGTACGAGGTAACATATATTCTAATGTCGGAGTTTTTCTATTTTTATAATTTAGTTTACTGTGACATATGTCATGTAGGTATAGTTGATTAAATACACGATTCCGTTAATTTAGGATGTCGTCACTTTTTTCATGATGTTAAGTCTTTTATTTAATCATTACAAGATCTTGTCGATACAGGACAAAAGCGTTACGAACGAATGACGAGGTTTTTTGAAAAGATCATACAAATCTTAGACCCGCACGTATTTGCCGTTAACCTTTATCCTATTTTAAACGGAAACCCTTTTGGTAAATTTTCAAACTTTAAATGTTGGCTTTGTATTTTTTAGCGGTGCAAGTGGTAGCTGTTTGATTACGTCATAGAAGTTGGGGCCGTTACAGATTTTCTTCCTAATCAGTACTATGAAATCTTTCAACGAGCATGCATGTGGTAGCTGTCCAATTACGTCATGTTCTAGACATTAAGGTCGTTACAAATTTTCTTTCTAATCAGTACAATTATGAATGTCACTAAAATCTTTCAACGAGCGTGCATGTGGTAGCTATCCAACTACGTCATGTTCTAGATGTTGAGGCCGTTACAAATTTTCTTTCTAATCAATATAATTATGAACGTCACCAAAATCTTTTGACGAGCGTGCATGTGGTAGCTGTCCAATTACGTCATGGGCCGTTACAAATTTCCTTTCTAATCAATACAATTACGAATGTCACAGAAATCCATCAACGTCCACTCATCTACACGTAAACTTCTATTGTTTATAGCTAACGGATCACGTGTCATTTTTTATCCTTTTATTTCGGACGTTCAATACAACTTCAAGATTTGAAGGTTCAAACCATTTATGTTCGTTTTCAACTACTCATCTCGAGGAAAACGGATTTTTTTGAAATAATTAAAAAAAATTAATGATGGGAATAATTTTTTAAAAATCAATCTAGGATGACATTTGGATAATATCATATAATCTAAATTAATTTATTATATGAAATAAAATCCATTATTTTAATAGTTAGGGCACTTGTAGCGATCTCCCTTGTCTCCCACACTCGAACAAAGCTAACAATAATGACGTGGGTACTTTCGTACTTTCCCATTTGAAAATCCCTCTTGGGTACTTCGTTTCTCCCTTACCCGACCCGTCCCTATCTCCCTCAATTACCAAATTACCCTTTTATCCATTTTCACACGCCAAATTGACAGCAATTCATTTTTTTAAGGGGAAAAAAATGAAAAGCAAATACTTTATCTAACAATTTCCTTTTATGAAAACCCTTTTTCATAGATAAAGTTGTTTTTTAATTAAGAAGAAACGTTATAAGACGGTTAAATTTTAATTAGAAATGACAAATAAATTAATTTTGATTAGGTTAGCATGACATCATAAATCAAAATTATAATTAATATATATATTACACTTTTTTTTTTATTTTTTTATTTTTTATTTTATTAGATGACGTATATGAGGGGAGATTACCTTCCATCTATAGAAAAAAACTTTTTACTTTGCTTTTTTTGGATATACTCATATTATTTTTTATTTTTTTTAAAAAGTAAATAATTTGTAATTGATAGCGATCTTAAGAATACAATGGCTAAGAAATATTTATCATATTTTGACGTTACTACTTATACCAATAAGATCGTAACACTCTATGTGTAAGATTCGGATCAAAATTCGAAACTCGTTCTTTTAGCTTGTTTTGTCTGTCTGGTCTAAACTAGTCTCGTTCAAATATAGTCTAGGTACATTTCTTTAAAATTGAAACCTGCTTTGTTTGGAGCAATTCTTTATTATGTGACCCTCTCGGAATTTTTCTACAAAACTCGTGTTGGTCTGGGGGATAGTCGTCGATCTTACCCGATTTTAAGAGAAGGAGATAATCATGGGTATTTTGAAATATTTAAAAAAAAGAAAAAAAAGAAAAAAAGAAAAAGAAAAAGCATTGTTAAAAATTACAATCCACAGTAAAACCAGCACATTGAGTTCCGTTGAGGGGTTGTGTGTTAAACATGAAGGGGGATGAAATTGAGGGAGGGAGAGAGAGAGAGAGAGAGAGAGAGAGAGAGAGAGAGAGAGATTGAGTCTAATTCACGCTAAAAACGTATTAGCCCACCACTCCTCCCCTCCGCCTACAAAGCCATCACTATAAAACCTCACCCTCGCTGCTCCTATTCAACTCACTCCACCCATCCATCTCCTATTCAATTCCCAACAATGGCCGCCAACAGAGTCGCCTACCTCAAGAATGGCGTCCTCCGCTTCCCCCCTGGCTTCCGCTTCCACCCCACCGACGAGGAACTCCTCGTCCAATACCTCATGAGAAGAGCCTTCTCACTCCCCCTTCCTGCCCCCGTCATCTCCGACATCGACGGCGGCCGATTCGACCCATGGGTCCTCCCAGGTTCCATCTCACGTCCACCATTTCCCCTAATTCGATCTCGTTTTGTTTCGGTTGTTTTCATTTGGGGTTGATTTTTTACTAATGGGGTTTCTGTGATTTTTTCTGGGTCAGGGAATTGGCAGCGGGAGAGGTACTTTTTCAGCACCAATTTCCCCAAATTCCCCAATGGGGGAAGCGTCACCAAAGTCACTGCCTCTGGGTACTGGAACCCCACTGCAAATGACCGTGCTGTTGTCTCTTCCAAGCAGGATCAGCTCGTGGGGTGGAAGAAATCACTGGTTTTCTACGTCGGGAAGTTTCCATATGGCATGAGGACTGATTGGATTATGCATGAGTATCGCCTGGTTGATTTTCCTCCTTCCGCCATGAATGCCCAACTTCCCCCCTTCGTGAGCTTCTTCTCCTACTAACTGTTCTTTTATGGTGGACTGTTCAATTGAGCTGAGCTGCTTCTTGTCTGTTTGTTTGATTTGTTGCTGCAGAACCCCAACCTGGTGTTATGTCGAATTTTCTTCAAGAAAAGAGACACAAGGGAGATAGATGAGAACAACAACGTTGGTAGCAGGCCTGTGCTTCGTAACTTTCTGAGAGCAACCAACAACACTGATTTGAATCTGTCTCCTACCTCTTCTTCTTCATCTGGATCAAGTGGAATTACTGATATTTCTCTGGGCAATTCTGATGATGACGACGACGATGATTATGAAGAAGAAGACGAAGAAGAAACCAGCAGCTTTTACAAGAGCTCTTAAAAACAAGCGTATAGCTTGAAGTAGCTGCTGTCCTTTTCCCATGAAGCTCTATAGGCTTCTGGGAAACCTCTACTCAACCCCCTGTTCTTCCCCCTTTGCATACACAGTATAATTAAAACAAAAAAAAACAAAAAAAAATACACAGTGTAATCATATTTCCCCCACAGTGAAATATATGATCCCCCAATTCTCCAACTTCCGCCTCTTCTTTTTCGACTGTTTTATTGACTGACTTACGTAATTGTGACGATATCGAAATGAAGACGTCGAAAGAAAACAAAAGGAAAGATTTTGAGATTAGATCAATGAATCGGTAACTGTCGTCACATACTATAGTAGACTCAAACGGTATATAACGGTTGGTTATATTGGGGGAGATTCATAGAACGGTTTTCTCGAATCTTTTATTGATGTAATTGTGTCGATATCGAATAAAGACACGAGGGGAAAAGAAAAGGAAAGATGATGAATATGGAGTAACGAAAAGTAATTTAGATTCATGGATGATCTACTATAGTAGACTCAAACGGTACAAAACGGTCAAACGGGGTCGAGCGTTTTGGAATGTTTTATAGGTTGGGTAGAGCGAATTTTGTCGAGAAACGAAGAGGACGGAAAAGGGAACTTGGTTGCGTACCCCTATGAAGAAGCAAGAGATTTTTGGTATGGTGAAGGGAAACAAAGTTGGAAAATGAAGGAAAAGAAAGGAAAGAAAAAGAAAATTGTAATATGGGAATAAAGAAGTGGGGGACCCTTACTTCTTGGAAGCTCAAATACGTCTCTTTAATTTTTATTTTTTTCCCTCTAAATCTCTTAAAATGCTACCCATCGCCATTGATGAAGATAGCTCGTTTTATGGTGCTTTTTAGAGCCAGAAGAGTGTTCAAACAGACTTACCCCTTCATTTAGTTCTCGTATTTATTTAAATTTATGAATATATTACGAGAAAAATTCAAACTTTAGGGTTTTATTAGACATAAAATAACGAAAAGTTTACGGGCTAATTTAATATTTTTTAGGTTTACAAGTTTAAGATTCCGTCAGTCCCATCGTGCTTTTGTTCCCCTCCTTATGTGAAATCTCACACTCCATCATTTTAGAGACCCAACGTCTTCAATGACACATTGCTCAGTGTCTAACTTCGATACTATTTGTATCAGCTCACAGCAGATGTTGTCTGCTTTAGCCCGTATGTGCTGACTTTGATACCATTTGTATCACCCCATGTCCACCCCTGCCAGATGTTGTCTGTTTTAGCTCGTTATGTATTGTCATCAGTCTTATTAAAATATCGACACAAAATTAAAAATTTTGGGATGGGTTAATTTTTTTTTCAATAAATTTTTTAGTCTTAATAAATTTGAAATTAAGAAACAAAAGGGAAAAATAATGTTGGAATTTTCAAATTTAATGGAAATTTCGTCCATTAGGTAAACTTCTTAAAAGAAGCCATAATTTCCCTTTGCTAATTTGCTATTTATCAAGTCCCGTAAGGAATCTTTGTAGGACCAATTAGTATGAACAACTTTTTTTATTTTTGAAAAGTAGGGTAAACAATTGAGGTAAGTTGAAATTACGCCTACAACGAGCTTAATTATAAATTTTAAAATTTCCGTAAACACGTCTTTATTAAAAATTTGAAAACATAGATTAAATAACTCTAAGTTAAATACCTCGAGACTATGCTACTCTGCAAGCCAAAGCCAAACTTTTACGAGTCAGAGACAGAGTATAGAAAGTTTGAAACAAAAGATAAAAAAAATACCTACTTTTACAATTAAATTACAAGTTTAGTCCCGATATAATAGATATACCGAGCGCTAGGCTGTTATCAAAGTCGCCAAGATACCGACATTATTCATATAATGCATAACATTAGTTCTTTAACTATTTCTAAAAAAGAAAAGCTGATGAAATCACGTGCGTTTGCACCTAGTACAAATATAAGTGGAAGGTAATGGCGAAATATTTACACACGCACCTACTTTCAACCATGGAAGCTGAGTTGAGCTGATCTTCAACAAGCATGGCCTCCGCTAGCCTTCACAAACCGGCCCTTGACTCGCTTTCTCGTATCGGCTCTTGCCTTTCTTGACTCGTAACGAATGTATTTATCGTACCTGTTCCAAGCTACACTCAAGGGTCCAGGATAGAAATGCAAAAGAAAACTACAGTTTACAAGAGAGACTGAAGTATGCACCTTCGAGTTTTCCGTTTCTCCTTGTAACGCTGCATTGCGTTGCCTCTATTCTGTGCAAGAAGCTCCAAGTCAGCCTTGGTTGTCGATGTCGACAATATACCATCTCTTACGATAATAGGTTGTTGTTCGATTGGCTGCGCATTTTTCGAACTGCCTTTCAGCTTGCTGCAGGCAGTACCATTAGGCAGATTGTTGCTCTCACATGTCGCTGCGCGATGGCTTAGCGTTGAGTTATTGACATGACCCTGCAATTTCGAGAAAATATAACATCAACAGTTGATTCCCAATGGGAAAGAGCAGAGGACTATACAAGAAAGAAGCACATGAAAATGTAGCGATTAAGTAGGCAGAGGGTATCTGACAAACAATGTAACAACCCAAGCCTACCGCTAGCAGATATTGTCCGTTTTAGCCCGTTACGTATCGCCGCCAGCTTCATGGTTCTAAAACGCATCTGTTAGAGAGAGGTTTCCACACCCTTATAAGGAATGGTTCATTCTCCTCTCCAACCGATGTGGGATCTCACACTCCACCCCCCTTGGGTCCAGCGTACTCGTTGGCACACCGCCAGGTGTCTGGTTTTAATACTATTTGTAACAGTCCAAGCCCACCGCTAGCAAATTTTGTTTGGTTTAGCACGTTACACATCATCGTCAGCTTCACGATTTTAAAACGTGTTTGTTAGGAAGAGGTTTCCACACCCTTATAAGGAATGATTCGTTCCCCTCTCCAACCGATGTGGGATATCACATACAAGAACTCAAAACATTGGATATGATCATACATCTACCACCAGAGCAAATGCATTTACAACAAGTATAGCTTTGACAAGTATACTTAATTTCACAGTAGATGGATCTCGTTGTTCATGAAACCTCTGAAATATAATTGTGGGTCTTCTAAGAGACGAGAAAGAATGGGATATAACAAACCTCCAGGTTAAGTAGACAATCATTTAGATGAACGCAGTAATCAAGAAACAACATTTTCTTCAGGCCAACGAGTAGCTCGAAACACGCTAAAAGTGAAATACAGAGCAGGACTTACATTCAATGATGGCAAGTCATCATGCATGCCAGAGCCATTGATCTGATAGGTTTCTCCTATCAACTTCGTGCTTGTTGGGGATGTTTCTTTCAAAAAATCACAAAAATTTTTAATTGTAAATCCCATGTTGCCGGTGCCGTAGGCGTCATCAAATGAGTTTGAATCTTTGTGTCCCCGTAATTGTCCTAAATGAAAGTCCCAAATCTGGAAAAAGTACGCATAGAAAAGAAGGAAAATAAGAAAGTTACCGAAAGGTTGATACCAGAAACAACGACAGACATTACATGTTTTGACATTGATAATATCAAGGCACCTGGCAAGCAGGAGATAATGAGAAAAACTACACCAAATGATAAGCCAGAGACATAAAGCAATAGCTACGACGAACAAGTATAGAAACCGGATTCCACACGAAAAGAAAGCAGGATCACTAGGAATCATTTCAATTAACTTCAAGCAAGTACAGTCCTAGATAAAGAACAGGTATAATACACCAAAATTTGTGTGAAGGAAAAAAGGGAGGGGAAATCCATTGGCAACAGAGAATGATTGCAACAATCTAATTTACAGCAAAAATCAAATAGAGGCTCTAGAAGAAAGAACACAGTTTGCCTATCTAATTTGTAATCACTCAAGTTCACCACTAGTAGATATTGTTCTCTTTAGGCTTTCCCTTCCGGACTTCCCCTCAAAGTTTTAAAACCAGTCTACTAAGGAGAGATTTTCGCACCATTATAAGGAATGCTTCGTTCCCCTCTCCAACCAATGTGAGATCTCACAATCCACCCTCCTTGGGGGCCCAACGTTATCTCTCGCACACAGTTCAGTGTCGGGCTCTGATACCATTCGTAACAGCCTAAGTCCACCACTAGTAGATATTATCATATTTGTGTTTTTCCTTTCGGCATTCCCTCAATGTTTTAAAAAGGTTTCCGGAATGGTTTCAGGTTAATAGCCATTCATATCCTTAGAAAAAGACTGTACTACTTTTGAAAGGTTAAACCAGTTGACTGCCAAAGCAGCGTCCTAAGAATGTACGAACTCAATTCCTAGGAATTGGGAAAAAACTTTATTCATTCCTTTAGGCTTTAGACAAAGAAATGGAGGAAAAAAATTAGAGGGTATGTCAAGGACAGCTCAAAGAAGAACATCCTTCGTACAGAATGCTATGCTATAGCTATCAAACTACAAAACAAGCGCATGCTAGAAAAGCTGAAAAACAATACAGTTGCCAGAACAGAGAAAAGCGACAAAAGCAAATTGAAAAATTACTTGAATGCTTTGACGATTTGGGTTACTATCCCATCCACTAGTGTCATCAACTATGCGCTCGCTATCTTTCAAGCCCATATGCGGCGGCATCGTTAGCAGAGATGTAAAAGAAGTTTGTTGCTGCAGTGATGGCTGAGGAGCAGCAGTAACATCAGCAAAAACCCCATCATCCCCTTTTTCAATTCGACGAGCTTCCAAATCCCCTTGCCAATAACAATCCCCATTCGTTGTTTCAGGAATAAGATTCTCTAATCCATCATCTTTCCCACCTGCATCACCATCGGCAGTGTTACCACCATCATCACCGCCTTGAAAATCCCTCTTAAGTAGCTCAACCAACTGCTTGTAAATCACTTGCTTGTGCTTCCCACAGCTCGGACTCCGCTTCTTCAGCGTGGAAGCAGCATCCGTACAGTTGAGATTCGCGAAGAGAAAGGGGTTCTCATTCGGAACAATGAGGTCATTAAAAGCAGTCGCACTCGCCCTACAAGCCCAAGAATCAATCTGCATAACCAAATCCTGTGAAGACCCCCAATTTTGCACCAACATCTCGGATTCCTCCAGCTTCTTATCACCAAGATCGAAGCCCAATAACGAAACAAGCTCGAGCACCGAAGGGCAGCCAGAGAACCCTTCAATCGGAGTTCGATCGTGAGCTGCGGAGACGGAACAACTCCCATGGGCATCCCAATCGCACTCCTGACAGAGCACGAGATTATCCGTCGAACACCGAATAGAAACCGGCTCACACCTACAGTTATCACAGATCTGAGACCGAACGTGCTTCCGAGAGAGCAAATTAGCGGAGTGAACATGGTTGTCGCAGAACAAACAGAGCTTCGCAGAATCAGCTCTACAGTACAGAATCGCGACCTGCTCGTTACAGAAATCACATGGGACGCTCTCCCCCGTTGTGAACTTAGAACAGACCATTCGTCGTCGCCGGTGAAGATCCCAGAGAAGAAAAACCCTAATCCAAAACAACCGGCAGCTACAAAGTGAACTGGAATTAAAGCTTGTTTTTTATTCGTTTCTTCAGCTCCATTGGTCCTTTGAGCGGTACCGGAAGAATATCCTGATCCCAATCGAAAAATATGGGGGATGATGAGCTTGCAGATCCTCGGCCATTTCTCTCAGGCCCTTTCTCGTCATTTCATAGGCTTCCATGGCAATATATCTTCTGACAAATCTTATTGACAAGGACAAAGTATCAATTTTCATTTTATCAAAATTATTTGAGTTTTAGTAAAATTACAAACACGCCCTTTATCTTTAAAATTATCGCTTGGTCCCACTTTCCATTTCTTTTTCTTTTCATTAAATTACTAATAAAAAATTTAAAATTATTTAGTTTTAGATTTAATGTGCTCTTAAACTCATAATTTAATTTTAAATAATTACTATTTTATTTCTAATTTAAGTGATTAGTACTTTAAATCATGATTATTGGGAAATAAAAAAATAACGGGAACGTGGATATGATGAGTTGGCATAGGTGGTGGGGCCCAACTTGTTAAAATATATAATATAAAATATAAAAATCTCACCGGCCTATATTAAAGCGCTAAATTCGTACATTTTGGGCGGATTTTGTGCGAGTGCTAGTGGTGGGCCAGGGGGGCAAAAAGGTCACCTTTTGATTGCAAAAAGATATTTAATTTTTAAGTATATTGAATTAAATTTTGTAAGATACCCAGCGTTCTTACTTACACACCGTCTCGTGTCTATCTCCCTTCGGAGAACAGCGAGAAGGCTGACACATCGTCCGGTGTACACCATTTGTCATCATTAGTATATATTGTCCTCTTTTGCTTTCCCTTTTAAGCTTTCTAGCTTTAAAACGAGTGTGTGATAGTGGAAGGTTTCCACACCCTGTGTTTTTGTTCTCCACCGTATAAATTATTGACTATTTCCATAGAATATTTTTAATAATTTTAGAAAAAAGTGTTCTTATTATTATTATTATTATTATTTCTTTGTCATAACATAGTAGTTGTGATTATTAGTCCAATAATTGAGGGATAATGGGAAGAAATAGAAGAAAATGGAGGAAGAAAAAGTAATGCATGTAAATCAAGGAACAAAAAGTTGATGTTAATTTTTTAGTATAGTTAAGAAATGGCAGCGGGTGGTGGGTTGTCAAAATTGTGAATGTCACGTCAACCACGGAGTCGAAGACATCCATCCCGTTTCGCCCATTGCTCGGTCGCTCTCATACAAACTTTTCAATTGATCGTGATTGATGACCAACTTTTTTTTTTTTTTTTTTAACACGAGTCAGGCTAGCACAAGTAATGATTTGGGTCGCTCCTAATGTCAGAATATTTATTAGATATAAAATTAAATTTTTATTTATATTTATATTAAATATATCAGATAATTAAAAAGTGGGAGAATAGAAAAAAAAAAAAGAAATAATATGAAAAATTGTGATGGGAGAGAGAGAGGGGAGAAGATTAACGGAATTTTGAAGAAGTCGTAAGAAAATGGCGGGGGGTCTTCAACAAACTCGAGGAATCGGCATTAACGAAATTTGCTGTCCGCTCCTGCATTCAACATTTACCCGCCTCCGCCTCCTCCTTCCTCTCTCTTGGCTCTGTGATTTCCGCTCCCAAAATTTCTCCGTATAAGCCCCCCTCCATTTCCATCTCCCTCCCTCCCTTCCTCCCTCCCATGGGAAGTGCATGAGCTTTTCCGGCCACTAAAAGTTCTTCTCCTCCCATGGGAAGCTGCGTTTCCGTGCAGTCCAGGGCCGGATCCCTCGCCAAGAGGAGCAGAGACGTCAGGCCTCTTCCCGATCATGCCATAATCGAATCTGTTCGAAAGTCCTCCGTTCGACTTGCGGCTTCCATTCTCTCCGATGACTCCACCGGCGACAACATTTTTGAGAAATATCGCTTCGGGAAGGAGCTTGGGCGGGGGGAGTTTGGGATCACGCACCAGTGCTTTCAGATCGAGACTGGCGAGACTTTCGCCTGTAAGACCATTTCTAAGAGCAAGTTGAGATCTGAGATCAATGTCGAGGATGTGCGGAGAGAGGTCGCGATTATGCGAAGTTTGCCCAAGCATCCCAATATTGTTACCTTTAAGGAGGCCTTTGAGGATAACGAAGCGGTTTATTTTGTAATGGAGCTTTGCGAGGGCGGTGAACTCTTCGATAGGATCGTCTCCAAAGGGCATTACACTGAGCGCGCGGCTGCGGACGTGACCAAGACCATTATCGAGATTTGCAAGGTATATGAACTTCACTCTCTCCCAAATCGTTCTACCTCGATTCTACGGAAAATTTCCGAATCTTATTAATATTTTGGGGAAGTAGACTCAAATTCAATTGTTGCTGATTTCTTCAAAATGGTGACGTTTATGTGCTATTTACATTTGTGAAAACTTATATCTGCCTCATGTCTTTTGTCGATTTATCAATTTAATCTAAGAATAGCCTCTGTATTTGGTAGCAGAGCAACACGATGGCCTAATTGGATTTACTGGAATGGTATTAGGAAACTCTGGCGTTGGAAATAGGATTTGCAATGTATATATTATTCTTCATGCTTTATACAGCTCCATTTCATGGAGTAATTGTAGCTCTTCGTGTGGTTGTAACTGAAGATGAATGATCTTTTGAACGCCACATACGCGAAGAATTGATGGTATCATTTACTTGGAGCATTTTCCTGTTCTGTCTCAGGTATGCCATGAAAATGGAGTTATCCATAGGGACTTGAAACCTGAGAATTTCTTGTTCGCAGATGAAAGTGAAAACTCCCGACTGAAGGCAATTGATTTTGGTCTTTCCATATTTTTCGAACCTGGTATGCTTACACTTTTCTCTAGTACCTCGCCATAATTCTGACTGCAGGAACCAAGTTTCTTCTCTTATCTTTATTAACCTTGAAGGCCTGCTGCTCTTTATTTAATTAAGAACTTGTTTCTCAACTTCCTCGATCTCGTTTGGTAGATCAGAGATTCAGTGAAATTGTTGGAAGTCCGTATTACATGGCACCGGAGGTCCTAAGACGCAGCTATGGGCCGGAAATTGATGTATGGAGCGCTGGGGTGATTCTTTATATCTTGCTTTGTGGAGTTCCTCCTTTCTGGGCAGGTGAGTCTCTCCTTGAGTGGCATCTTGTAGGTTGTTTATTGTCTAAATCTTTGAAAGTTGGATAATAAATTATTTCAGGCATGCTAATGCTGTATTGGGGATTATAACTTGTGCAGAATCTGAGGAAGGCATTGCTCATGCTATTGTTCGGGGTAATATAGATTTTGAGAGGGACCCTTGGCCAAAGGTTTCTCAGGAAGCCAAAGAACTTGTGATGGGGATGCTCGATCCAAATCCTTACAGTCGGATGACTGTTGAAGAAGTTCTTGGTATGGACTCTTATTCCTAATTCATTTCAGTAATATCTTTGTTTGCTTTGTTTTCCCCAAATCCCGAGCAAAGTATCTCTAGGTTTTAAGCAATTTCAGTAGAAGGTACATGAAATGCAGGACGTGATAGCACAGACATATTGTCAAACGAATACTAAAATTATGTCGAAATGTTTCTGGTGTGGCTTGGGTTTAACCACTATTTTCTTCTTTATGTTTATTTGTTTTGTTATCTACTTTCTATAAATGTGTTCCTGTTTTTTTCCATAAACATGGAACTCATGTAGAACTTAAAAAAAACAAAGAGTTAAAAACTTAAATAATGAATCAAATTATCTGATCATCTTGTTTTATTACATGAAGAACATCCTTGGATACAAAACAAAAACCAGGCTCGTAATATCCCCCTGGGTGAAAATGTCGGCATAGGGATTAAGCAATTCACTTTGATGAATAAGTTCAAGAAGAAAGTACTTAGAGTAAGTATCGAACATACATTATTTAAGTTAAGTTGTCTCTTCAATAGCTTTGTTAGTTGATGAATATCCTTGACTGTATCCAGGTTGTGGCCGATCACTTGTCAGATGAGCAAATGGATGGGATCAGACGAATGTTCCATATGATGGACACAGATAAAAATGGAGATTTAACTTTCGAGGAGTTGAAGAATGGTCTGCATATGATTGGACATTCTCTTTCCGACCCTGATGTGCAGATGTTGATGGAAGCTGTAAGTTTCTTCCCAATATAAACCTCAAAAGATTGTTGGGAGTAACAAAAAAAAAAAACACACACAATTTTCTAGACTTTTTCTTGTCCAAATATCTTAGATTTTTTTCGTAGTCTAACCCAATCGAAAGAAACTTTGTCCTCAAAGTGTTCTGTAAGCCTAAGATATTTTCAGAGTATGTTAACATTTGAACAAGTCATTTTCTTGCGTTATGGCTTCTATTTTCTCTATAAATATCCAATTGGTTCGTAAAAGATTAAATATCTATGCTTCCCCATCATGAGGATCTTTATTCATGGATCTTTTGGTTCAGAAATTCATATAAGGTGGAACCATTTCTTCTACCCCTTTCTTATATTTGAAAAGCGGTGAACTGTCAGTAAAATATGATGTATTATATAACCAAGGTTTGATATCAAAATATTCTATCATTCTAACGGGCCTTCTTTTCTGTAAACAAGGCGGATATGGATGGAAATGGAACATTAAGTTGCGAGGAGTTTGCAACAATGTCCATTCACCTCAGAAAGATGAGCACTGATGAGCTTCTGACTCAAGCGTTCAGATTCTTTGACAAGGACCAAAATGGGTACATTGAATATGATGAACTCAGAGAAGCCTTAATGGACGACAATGAGAAGGTGATCCAAGATATCATTTCTGATGCTGACATGGATAAGGTATCTATCTCTAAATATGACTCTTTTTTATTTCATTTTGCTAATGAGAAATAAGGTTTCTTTTAGGAGAGTGAATCTTCGTATGTTTTATTACATACGATCTACACGAAAATTCATCTCAAACTTATTCGATACTCATTTTATTGGATTACTGTGTTGCCTGCCTGATAGGATGGTCGAATCAGTTACAATGAGTTCAAGGCAATGTTAACCACAGGGATGGATTGGAAAATGGCTTCTCGGCAGTATTCAAGAGCAATGCTTCATGCCCTTAGCAAAAAATTGTTCAAAGAAAAATCAGTGGCAGAATGCAAAGGTAGATAGTTTCTGAGTTCAACTCAGAATCAATCACTCCAAAAGGAAAAGAA